CCAATCGCAATAATATTTACCACTTGCATTTTCTGTCACAGAGTCAATGCATATCGCAGCTGGACTTTTTCTGCCTCTTTTAAACAGCTGTGTCCTTCCAGTTGTACAGTCAAGAAAATCCCAGATAATTTTTTAAAAACTAGGAAGGTTTTTCAAAAATACAAATACACGAACTTACCACATGCACAGAACAATAACTATCAACTATAATTGATATTTTAACACATTATAATATTAGAGTGAAATAAGCAAACAGTATCCAGAATATATAGAAGTCTAATATAATTCAGTCTTAAAGAACTATTTCGTAATTAAAATTAATCTTTTATGTTTATCTCTGTTATATAATAGGAGGAAGGAAAAGAGAGAGAGATAAGCTAGCTATTCTGTGGCCTTCAAATGATTTTGAGTGCTTCCAGTCAAATGATTCCCATTGATGCAACTATTCCACCTTTATCAACCAAGCAGAACACTTTGGTTGGCTTTGACCTTGGAGCACTTTGTGATGCCTAAAGCCTGCTGGTGTAAATGAGTGTATGTTTACACCCCCTTTTCTTTTTTTAAAAGAATTCCTTCCTATTGCAATCAAGCAACAAGAGGAAAATATTTAGACCAGACAAATGGATAATGGATGACCTCAGTTCCCTCTTGAAATGGGATGTGGTGGAGGGTTGAGTGGGCTGAGGGTCCTTAGTCCTTCCCACCCAACTTGCTGCTTCGCTGCCATTATGCTCCTCTTGGGGGCTTTCTAGAAAAGGATTGTTTGACCTCAGAGTCAGCCTTAGAGTGTAGTGGTTAAGGCACCAGGCTAGAAACCAGGAGATTGTGAGTTCTAGTCCCACTTTAGGCACAAAGGTTGCTGGGTGACCTTGAGCCAGTCACTCTCCTAGGAAGAGGCAATGACAAACCACTTCTGAAAAACCTTGCCAAGAAAACTGCAGGGACTAGTCCAGGCAGTTGTCATGAGTCAAGACTGACATGAAGGCCCAAACAAATTACTTTTATTTACTCTATGGGCTTTTCAACACAACCTGCTCATTGTGGCTTGGAAAACCCCATTAACTGTTCTTACGGGACATGTTCTAATGATGCAGCCTAATAGAAGGGACCCTGTTAGTTCTGGCTGGGTGAGCAAAAACAGCTACAGAGAGACGGTCCCACAAACAACCTCATCTACACCATGTGGGGCTTTATAGGGGAGGTAGAATCTGCTAAGTTCCTATCGATTGGCTGAGGCTGGTGCTGTCCCAAATGAGCACATTAAAGGTTTTCTGCTGTTTTTGCCAACAAGGGCTTTTGCATGGTTATGCTTTTTATTGTTAGTATTACTTGGGGAGGGAGACAGTGCCACTTTGCCTACTGTAATCTATTTAAACATATATTTATTTAAACAATTTGTATGGCTGCCCATCTCACTACTGTGACTCAGAGTGGTGAACAGGTTTTTTTTTTTAAAAAAAAAGAATAAAAAATATCAACAACAACAATATGTTATACACCAGAGGTCTAAGAAATCATTCCATTTTACAATCAGTGAAAAACAACAAATAAAAACAATAAAAATAAATCAACCAACAAGGCTTGCCTAACCTCCCATCCAAATGTCTAAGGGAACAAAAAGATTTTAGCACCTTGTGGAATGTGGAAGTCCAACAGGGTCAGGGCCATCTGTATGTCTGGAGAGAAGGCTGTTCCACAGGGAGGCACTGTGAGAGAGAAGGCACGACTTCTGAATCCAACAAGATTGCACTGCTTAATACAAGTAGTCCTCGAGTTATGACCATTCGTTCAGCGATAGTTTGAAATTACGACGG